GTGTGTGTGTGTGTGTGTGTGTGTGTGTGAGTGTGTGTGTGTGAGTGTGTGTGTGTGTGTGTGTGTGTGTGTGTGTCTCTGTGATGAGATCCAGTGCTGGTGAAATGAGACTCTCAGGCATTTCCTCTTCCTGCATCACAGCTGCTCTGAGTTACTGAACACACACACACACACACACACACACACAGGAGGAACCCGTCTCTCCACCCAGAGCTCATTCCACACAAAGCCATTTCCAGAGATGTCAACATCTGTCTGTCTCTCTGACCCACTTTCTGCTGCTGCTTCAGTCTCTGACAGAGAAAAGAAGATCTGAGTCACTGCTTCACATCTTCATCACCATCATCATCATCAGTGCTGAGCTGACAATATCGATTAACAGACAGAAACATAGTCTCCGCTTTCAAATCTTCAAAAATTCAACAAACTTTATCTGAACTAATAATCACAATGACCGTTGTACTTTATTACTTAAGACTCAGCTTTCAAATTCTGTCAATTTTAGCAATATTTGCCCACTCCTCTTTGCAGAACTGCTCAAGTTCAGTTCAATTTGATGGTGAGTGTTTGTGCGTATGCGATTAATATATGATTTCGGACGCAGCGTACCGAATACCGATATATATCTATAGTAACTACATCGTCACTGCAGAGAGTATTCACTCCGGAAGCGTTTGTACAGCGTCACTGCAGCGGCTCCAAAGCTACAGATCTCTTTACAAAGACAGCTATAAATGTGTTTTTAGAAGTTGGCCATTTATAAACTTGATAGCCTTGAAAGTTTGTTAAAGGGGTCATATGATGCGATTTCATTTTTTCCTTTCTCTTTAGAGTGTTACAAGCTCTTGGTGCATAAAGAAGATCTGTAAAGTTGCAAAGACTAAAGTCTCAAATCCAAAGAGATATTCTTTATAAAAGTTAAGAGTTAGCCACACCTACCTAAAACGGCTCGTTCGAACACGCCCCCACATACCTACCTCACTATGTGGGAAAATAATGTTCTTTTTAGCAGCATCATATGACCCCTTTAACATAACTGTCTGTTAACAGCAGACAGACATGCTTTCACACACATTCCTCCACACTCAAGCATCTCAGAACTCCAGCTGTAGATCCTCAGATGTTCCTCATTGACCTGTTTGACATCAGCGTGTTAAAGCGAGTATCTAACGAACACTAGCTGAACAAAAACACACTCAAACACCACGAGAGAGAGAGACAGACAGAGACAGACAGTCTGTCTCTCGGCCACAGCGTCACACGTTGTTCTTGTTTCGCTCCATTATCGTCTGCTCTCTTCTCCTGCATTATTGAGAGCTGCTAAAGCGGCTGCTTGTTTAAAAGCTTCTCGTGAATATTTAAAGGGGTCATATGATGCGATTTCATTTTTTCCTTTCTCTTTGGAGTGTTACAAGCTCTTGGTGCATAAAGATCTGTAAAGTTGTAAAGACTAAAGTCTCAAATCCAAAGAGATATTCTTTATAAAAGTTAAGAGTCAGCCACGCCTACCTAAAACGGCTCGTTCGAAACACAAAATAATGTTCTTTTTAGCAGCATCATATGACCCATTTAAGAACTCGCGGCTGCCAGAGAGCATGATGGGAGAAATCACAAGAAAACGTGAAGAGAACAAACATATTTAGGACGCATGAGAAGCTGTGAATGGAAAAACTGACCGTATGAGAGGCCAAAAAGAGTCCTACATCACAAAAAAAAAAGAGTTGGGGCTTTTTTCCCTGCAGCAGAAGCATGTATAATGTATGAACAGAGACAAATATGCAAGGAAACTAAAGTAAAAAGTAAAAAATAAAATGAAGTAAAATAATAACATCACACAAAGTAAATTAACTGAAAAAGTGCATTAACAATTAAATAGAATCATAAAAAATTAAAACAATAAATAAAAAAATAATTAAAAAGGAAATTCAAATAAAATAATAAAATACTGACATAAACTATAAGAATAAAATATGTTTTTCGGGATAAAAAAAGTGTTTTTCAGGATCCTTTCCCTTGGCAGCAGATGGTGGAGTCAAAAACTGAGGTTTAATTCTCTGAATGAATCCTGCTTCACTGAGATCAGGACACACACACACACACACACACACACACTCTCTCTCTCACACACACACTCTCACACACACACTCACACACACACACTCACACACACACACACACTCACTCACACACTCACTCTCACACACACACACTCACACACACACACACACTCACTCACACACTCACTCTCACACACACACACTCACACACACACACACACTCACTCACACACTCACTCTCACACACACACACTCACACACACACACACACTCACTCACACACTCACTCTCACACACACACACTCACACACACACACACACTCACTCACACACTCACTCTCACACACACACACTCACACACACACACACACTCACTCACACACTCACTCTCACACACACACACTCACACACACACACACACTCACTCACACACTCACTCTCACACACACACACTCACACACACACACACACTCACTCACACACTCACTCTCACACACACACACTCACACACACACACACACTCACTCACACACTCACTCTCACACACACACACTCACACACACACACACACTCACTCACACACTCACTCTCACACACACACACTCACACACACACACACACTCACTCACACACTCACTCTCACACACACACACTCACACACACACACACACTCACTCACACACTCACTCTCACACACACACACTCACACACACACACACACTCACTCACACACTCACTCTCACACACACACACTCACACACACACACACACTCACTCACACACTCACTCTCACACACACACACTCACACACACACACACACTCACTCACACACTCACTCTCACACACACACACTCACACACACACACACACTCACTCACACACTCACTCTCACACACACACACTCACACACACACACACACTCACTCACACACTCACTCTCACACACACACACTCACACACACACACACACTCACTCACACACT